CTCCTGACTTCAGGGTCAGTGCTCTATCCACTGCACCACCTAGCTGCCCCTGTTTGTCTTTCTTAGAATGACCTCAGTAATGTCTGACAAAGCATAAGTCTGAAGTCTTAAAGAAAGCAGTTGGGGAATGGCTGACTAAATTAGAGTCTCCAATAGTAGTATATGGTGAAAAAGCTGGTTTTGGGGAAACCAGAGAAATACATAAAAACGTACTGATGCAGAGTGACGTGAAAAGACAAGGAGAACAATGATTGAGTAATGACAACACTAGGCCTGATACATAGGCCACACATGGTGCCCAAGCCTGTCATCCCAACTACCAGGGAGCCTGAGCCTGGTGCATTGCTTGAGCTGAGAAGTGAGGAGCAGCAGCTGGGCTGTGGCCAGATCCAGTGTCCAGACCAAGTCTAGCAGCAACAGAAGCCCTGGCCTCTTCCCCCCAGGAAGCTGACCAAAGACAAGTCTGCTGGCCCAGATCAGAAAGAGAGCACAACAAAGTTTCCATACCAATCAACAGTGGGATCCAGCCTGTGAGCAGCTGCCTGTATTTCCAGCCAGGTGAGATAGGGAGATTACTCTTATAACAATTTGGATGGGGAACATGTCAGGGTTTCTTTCCAGAGCAGGAACAACTGCTATTTACACTCCCTTTGATCCATCAGATACCAAACAGTGGCTCAGAGAGGCTTGGGCTGGGACTTATTATTGGCCAATCAGTGAGATCCAGAGTGTTGTGGATTGAAATCATAGTGAAGCATCTCCAACTGAGTCTGAATTGGCTTTATCAAAGCCTGATTTTCTAGAACTGAGTCTCAAGCAGTTTATATTCTTTTAGTCAGAGCCCCCAAATGTAAGTGTGTGATTCTCCATGGTGAGAAAGGCAGAAAGAAAGAAATTGAGGAAGAGAGGAAGGAATGAGGGAAGGAGCACAACCTAACTGCAGCTGGACAGTGGGTCCCCACTGGGGCAGCTACTCCTCCTCACAGATTCTTGTTCATCCTTTGTTCTTAAAGACACTAATGACATCAGGAAGGTGAAGTTCTACTTGGAGGAGATTGGCCACATCCAATCCGCATTGATTCAGATTCCTCAGGTCTCTTTGGCTAGGCCAAACCCTTTTGCTAACTTGGATTAGAGGTGATTTTAAAGTGTGTAAAATTTATGCATCTGTCTGGAAATCACAGGAGATGGAATGCTTACGGTAGTTTTAACCATTTTTTAGGGTAGTTTTATCTTTTAATAAGACTGAAAATTGGAGACTTTTCAGCTCTCTTAAGGAAGTGGAGAGAAAAAGTTACTCAGAGCTGAGAACTGTCACCACGTGTCTTTCTAAGAGAATCTATGAATTTATGGATAATATTTCCTTTCAAAGGGCTAAGAGTATTGGACTTTTAAAAACACTGTTAAATGTTTATCATTAGCGATTGTAAATCCAGATTTGATTTGATTTCAGTCTATTTACCTCGGTTTACTGTTCTGTAAGGGGTAATAGTGGAAGTCACTTTTGAGAGAAGTTATGAGAATCCCATGATTGTAAAATAACTGGCATATGCTAGACAACATTAATATTATCTCTCTAATTTAAAGTAATTGCTGCACACCTGAAAACTTTTAAGTAGTTTTGAAATACCAACAGTAATAAGATCAATAACTTCTATATGTGATCATCAGAAAATGCAATTGATGTCATTTGAAGTTTATTATTGGTGTTATTACTGTATTTCTCAATTTTTAATCTAGATTTTGTTGCATAGGAATTGGGCCTTTTAAAAAGAAAGGGATGTAATCAAATCTTTTTGAAAACTTAACATTTAATCAAGTATATTTGGTTACAATCAAGTAATAATACTAATACTAATACTATATTTACTATGAAAGAAGATTTTTCATTTGAAATCTTGGCTATTATGAAAATATATAAGGTGGTTGCAGGTTGTAGTTTCAACATAAGAATGATGAGATGAATGATTCTCTGTGCAAGGTGATTTAGAAATGCATTTACCTAAATTGATAATGGGGCCTTAAGTTTTAAGTACATTATAATGTGTAGGGTATTGTTACATTTCTAAATTGTGTAATTAGGGAAAAGATTGTATCACCTTTGCTGTTAAAAAACAATTTCTCTTATAATCTAGATGTTATTAGATTAAGCATTGTACTGTCAGAGAAAAGGAGAAAAAAATGAATGGGTTAGGAAGCTCTTAAGTCATTCTATCAGACCATGTGTTATAATATTTTTGAAGTATTATAATTTAAGAAATTGTAAACTTCCATGTTTTGTCTATATTTAAAGGGAAGTTTCAGCTAAAATTATTAAGTTCTCATTTATGAACATTAAGATTGTTAAGGAGGTATTTGAAGTTATTATTTAAATCAAGTATTTCCACAAGTATTTTTGTGAAAGGAAACATGGTAATTGTGTAAAAGAAAGGACCTTATGAAATCTGCTTGTAATTAATTTATTCTGGTATAGTAAGAGGATAAATGGTAAGCTGTTTTAAGAAAGGGAAATACTTTTATGAAGAAATGTTTTGCAAAATCTTTTGTGTGATTTTTAGAAGGCCTAATAAGTTTCCATTTCCAAGCCAACTTGTTGCAGTAATAATTTGATACTGATGACAATTATGTCCAAACCTTGTGTGAATTTCATTCCTAGATTTGTTGTGTCCTTGGAATGACCTTAATAGATGTTTTCTGAGAAATAAAGTGGGAGTCAGCAGGTCAATGGGAGCAGCAAGTAGTGAGCTGTAAATGGGGAAGATCTTGCTGTTTTGATCTGAATTCATTCCATGGCCTAAAGAAGGGTTGAAAATTAGTGTTTGAACTTATCATATGTATAAGATTCAATTCCTGAAGTATTTTATGATATTTAAGGAGGACATGTGTAGGAATGCATGCAAACTACTTCAGGCCCACTTTAAAGAGGTTCCCTAACCAATGTGAGATCATAGTCACCTCTGAAACTGATTAGGGAACTTGCAATTCACGACCTTATGGGACTGATAACTGACTTTATTCTGAGTGTAACTTCAGGTATGGTTATCAAGATGAGCCACTGACTCATGATGCCAGCAACCCTGTAGGGAGGGGTTAGTGGGTCTGTGAACTGCATGTATAAAGTGCAGAGGGGGCTCTCATGGGAAGGTTGGGAGGACGAGTATTCTGCATGAGCTGAAGTAGGGTTCTCCTGACTCACTTTGCCCATTGTGACACCTGGCAGACTTTAAGCCTGGCTCAATGCAGTTGGTCATTACATAACATCTGTGTGGAATGTGCATGAAGTTAGGGAAACATTGTTCCCTTACTTTAGTTTTTTGTCCCTTTTCTTTTATGGTCCATTTCTGTAATAAAAGTTTGTAACCAGCTTGTTAAATCCATTAAATACTAGCTTGGTGCTGGAACATCTGAGGTTATTATAGTAAGATGCAAGTATAAGATTGAGGTATTTTTAGGGCACCTTTCCTAGCCCCTTCCTCACACCAGGAGGTGAGCAGTGTGGTCCTTCAAAAAGGCTGCTCAGACACCCAGGGGCTGCTGAATCCCACTGCTGCTTCCAGTGAGAAGACAACCCTATGGCCTGGGTAGCCTGTGTGCAGGGATGTGAGGAGAGCTCCCCGTGTATCCGCACCTGCTCTTTGTGACTTGCCTTTTCCACAGGGCTCTGAAATATGTAAAAATGACCAAATGGTATGGGTGATGTCATTTGATTCATGTGTGATTTGCCTTTAAGTGCCACACAGTTGTGTGAAGTTGTCAGCCTCCCTGTCCCCTCGACAGTGATCACAGTCCATTGTCAGGATAGTCAGGATGACTGGTGATGGTGGAACCTGCAGTGGGTGGCCTTGGCCTTTTTGATATCTAACCAAGCTCCAATCAGCCAGGTGAGGTAGGGAGATCTACTCCCAAAACAATGTGGAAAGGGAAGATCCTAGGGTGTCTGTTCAGAACAGTGGCAATTGCTGTTTACCCTCCCTTTGAGCCATCAAATCCCTAACAGTGACCCAGGGAAGGGACGTCTTTTGATTCATGTGTGAACTGTGTTTAAGTGAGGCAGAGTTGCATGAAGCAGACAGCCTCCTCTCTCCTCCAGAGTGATCAGTCTAGCAGCAGGACAGAGTCAAGATGAGTGGTGATGGCTCGAGATGCAGTGGGTGACATTAGCGTCCTCAATGTTTAACGAAGCTCTGAGTACTGCACGGTGCCTCTTTCACCTGCCTTCATAGCCATTGGAACGAATTATTCTCATCTGCCATTCTGCCAGGGGAAGTTTTCACAGCCTTGCTGTAGACACCCCCTGATTCACCGAAGGGTTTGAGACCCCTTGGTTACTTTTAACCTGGTTACATGTAGTTGTGTTTGTATGTATGTGTGTGTGTGTGTGTGTGTGTGTGTGTGTGTGTGTGTGTGTGTGTGTGTGTGTGTGTGTGTGTCTGACTGCTTTGGTCCCCTTGAATACTTGTGTGCTTGTGGTCATGAATGCTAATTCCTCTACCCCCTCTCTGATCTGGCTCCAGTGCTGCTGCTGCTCTGTCCAGGCCCTGCCCCTCATCATGGGAGGGCAATATCCTGGCCCTACAGGAATAGGGATAGCAGGCCTGTTGTCCTCAAATCAGGTTCTCAGGCATCTATCCCTGCAGATGGGAGTCATGAATGATTGCACAGCGCCAGTGAGTTCCCAGGGTGAGGAGAAAGACTAGATCCATTGCATAGATGAGGTTGCCTCAAGAATTTTAGGGACTGTTCCACACACCTTGTCTATCCTGCCTGGGGAAAAACAGACAGAGCTGAGAGTCCAGGTCCATTCCCCTGCATTGTCTATAGTTTCCTCTTCAGAAGCAGCTCAGGTCTCTGGACTTAGGATTGGGAGCAGAGGACAGAGTAGGAATGAGAAGCAGACCATATGGGAAGATTTGTGGTCCTTGGCTAAAGCCTACCAGGCAGAAGATTCTTTCTCTTCCTCCTTTGTCTCTTTCTTCTTAACCTTTCAACTAGGGTCTCTTTCACAATGGCTCCTGCAGCAGGACTGAATTGGGCCCAGTTCTCCCTGAGGGGATGGTTTTCTCAAGCCTGTGACTCTGGGGAAGCAGCTGCTCCCTCTGCTGAAGGGCTGAGCAGCCTGGAGGTTTTTGTTCAGGGCTGAAACACTGTGGGAATGGAGCATTATAAGCCTGAAAACAGTAATAATCTGCCACATCCTCAGCCTCCACTGCACTGATGGTGAGGGTGAAATCTGTCCCAGAGCCACTGCCACTGAACCGGTCAGGGACCCCAGAGTACAGGGTGGAAGCATAATAGATCAGGAGCCTGGGAGACTGTCCTGGTTTCTGCTGGTACCAGGCCATCCTCTTGCTAACGCTGGAACTGGCTTGCAGCTGATGGTGACTTGGTCTCCTGCAGCCACAGACAGGGAGGCTGGGGACTGGGTCACTCAATGGCTGCCTGGGATTCTAAAGGAGAAGAAGAAAGAGATTGCAGTGAATGAAGCATCCTGTGTAGAGACAGTGAATGCAGGAGTAGTTCCCTTACCCTCAGGCTGTGTCAGAGATGCCCACTGGAAAACTCTGTCTCTAAAGTGGCCAAACTATGGGTCATTGGAAGTCTTACCTTGAGGCCAGAGCAGTAGCAGCCAGAGGAGCAAGGACTGGGAGAGCATTGTGACCCTGACAGAGCTGGAGGCAGAGAGCTCTGAGCTCAGAGGGAGACAGATGGGAGATATTTGTATCTGAGGCTGGGTTTGAGAAGGTGCCTTGGATATCAGCATGCAAAACAGTGCTGGCCCAGTGTGAAGTGTAGGACCCCAGGAGTGGTTATATTCACGTTGGAGGGAGTGGCCCAATTGTATTTCCTGGAAGGCTTCCCTCAGGGCCTCTGTTTTATTGCTGTTTTAAATGCACCTGCCTTAGGCTGGACATGGTGGTGGCTGTGGCAGGTAGCAATTGTGATTATAAAAGGTAGGAAGGGTGGCAAGCAGGGGGGTGGGGGTCTCTCTTTCCAGCAGAGATCAGATGGTTTTGGGTCTATATACCAAGAGTTGATAAGTGTCTATGCAAAGAATAGAATTAAGAAAGAAAAGACCAGGGAACCAACAAAATTGAAAGAAAGCTAAGGGTCCAGAATGAGATGAAATGTAGCTGAAGATTACTTGGAGATTCTTTGGTTTACCAGGGGTTATGGGGAGAATGTCTCCCCTGAGTTGTTGGGGGGAGATGTTTATTGTTCTCTCCTGTATTTCTGTTATGTTTCTGAAAGCTAAAAAGAAAGAAAAAAAGGATTGCTTTTCTCAACCTTTCTTTTTGTAGGCAGGGAAACTGAGGCCAAAAGGAGTGACATGGTTATTCAGTTACCTTTTTCCTATTAAAGTCCATCATCTCTTTTCCTCCGTCGGAAAGTTTCCACACCAATCAACAGTGGGATCAAGCCTGTTGCACTTGTAGTATTTCCTGGTTGGTGGGATAGAGAGATCAAGTCACAAAACAATTTGAGAGGGGAAGACCCTCAGTGTTCCTAGACAGAACAGAAACAATTGCTATTTACACTCACTCTGAGCTGCAAAAGCTCAAACAATGACCAACAGAAGCTTGGACTGGGACTTATTATTGGCCAGTTGGTGAGACCAGAGTGATTTGTATTTCAGGCATATGGAAGTATCTCCATTTGAATCTGAATGTGCTTTATCAAAACCTGGTTTTCCAGAGCTCAATCTCAAGAAATTTGTATTCCTTTCATTAGAATACCTTTATGTAAGTGTATGACTCCCCACAGGGAGGAAATGAAGAAGGAAGGAAGGAGCATTGTCCAACTGGAACTGAACAGTTGGGTCCCGGTGAGTCAGTATTACCACTCACAGACTGTTGTTTGTCTTTCATTCTTTTTTAAACAAAATTATGTATTTTTAGTTTTCAACATTCACTTTTACAAAGTTTTGAGTTCTAAATTTTTCAATCAGTTCACAACTCCACCAACAATGCATTAGTATTCCACTTTTCCCACATCATCTCTAACATTTATCATTTTCTTGTTTTGTCTTGTTAGCCCATCTGATAGGTGTGATGTGGTATTTCAGAGTTGTTTTAATGTGCATTTCTCTAATCAATAATGATTTAGAGCATTTTCTTATATGCTATAGTTATATTTAATTTGTTCATCTGAAAACTTCCTGTTCATATTCTTTGACCATTTATCAATTGGAGAATGACTTGTATTCCTATCAATTTGACTTAGCTTTGTATATGTTTGTGAAATGAGGGTTTTATCAGAGACACTGGCTGTTCAATTGTTTCCCAGCTTTCTGCTTCCTTGTAATCTTGGTTGCATTGTCTTTGTCCAAAACCTTTTTAATTTGATGTAATCAAAATTTTCCGTTTTCATTTTATGTTTTCTGTGTCTTGTTTGGTCATTCATTCTTCCATTCTCCATAGATCTAACAGGTAAACTCTTCCTTGCTCTCCTAATTACTTCTAGTTTCACCCTTTATGTCTAAATTGTGTACCCGTTTTGACCTAATCTTGGTATATGGTGTAAGATGTTGGTCTATACCTAATTTCTCCCATACTGTTTTCCTGTTTTCCCAGCAGTTGTCAATCAGTGAGTTATTATTCCAGAAGCTGGAGTCTTTGGGTTTATCAAACAGTAGATTACTATAGTCATTGACTACTGTGTCCTGTGTACCTAAACTATTCCAGTGATTTACCACTCCATTTTTTAGTGAATACCAACAAATTTTGATGACTGCTGCCTTAACATACAATTTTAGATCTTGTATGGCTAGGCCACCTTCCCTTGCATTTCTTTTAATTAATTCCCTTGATATTCTGGACTCTTTGTTCTTCCAGGTGAATTTTATTATTATATTTCTGGCTCTGTAAAATACTTTTTTGGTAGTTTGACTGATATGGCACTGAATAGGTAAATTAATTTGGGTAGAGTTGTCATGTTTATTATTTTAGCCTAGTCTACTCATGAGCAACTGATATTTTTCCAATTATTTAGATCTGATTTCTCCTTCATTCTTGAAGAAGATCAACGACATCAGGACGGTGATGTCTTGACTTACAAGTGAACTGGATTTAAGTGATGCAGGGCTCTGCAAAGTCACCAATCTCACTCTTGCCTCCAGAGCCATCTGGGTCCAGTGGAAACACATAGATAAGGATGACTGTAAACGGTCCCTGAAACCTGAGAAAGGGAAATGAAAAACTGAGACCTGGGAAAGACTTCTCTTCCAGTGCATCCGGGGCCATCTTGCCTCTCATCTAAACTTAGGCCTTACCATTGGCCTCTGATGAGCCTGAAGGAGAGAGTGCAGCTGATAACTTTGCACAGGCCTGCCTCACTTAAATCCAATTCACTTGCGATTCTTGCTATTGCCCTTGTGATGTCACTAGTCCTCTTCCTTAAAGAAAGTAACAGGATCAATAACTTCTATATGTGATCATTAAAAAATGCAATTGATGTCATTTGAAGTTTGTTATTGGTGTTATTACTGTATTTCTCAAGTTTTAATTTATATTTTGTTGTGTAGGAATTGAGCCTTTTAAAATGAAAGGGATCTAATCAAATCTTTTTGAACTTAAACACTAAGAGAAAAACATTTCCATACCTGTAGCAGAACACAGAAAGAAGATTTTATGTGAAGCTATGAACTTCTGTTTTACACAACTTGGAAAACAATAATATAATAAAGTCCATCCCTGTCTTTGCAAGTTGTCCTGCTTATCTATAACTTTTTATGTTCTTTTTTTCCCATCACAATTGCTCTTGCTTCATTCCTGAATTAAAAATTGAGTAGAAATTAAGAAAAAAAATCCCCTGTAATATACAAGCACAGTTAAGCAGAATAACTCCAGACTGTGTCAGAGTCCACTTTCTGCATCTGGTGTCCATCCTCTTTGTCAGGTGGTTAGCACGTCTTCTCAGAGTTTCTCTAAAGACGTGGTTCAGAGTTGTTTGTCCTGACCATGCTGATGTCCTCATACTTGCTAATGCAGGAAGTGGCCTTGCAGCTGGTAAAGACTGTCTCCTGGAGGAAGTGATTGGACAAAGCAATGAGACAAAGGTACAATGTGATATATTTCTCATTAAACAGGATAGCAAATTTTGAGAGAAAAGCTACTAGATTAGACTGTTTCCTCTATGAATTATATAGAGGTTTATATCATTGGCTTCCAAAATTTATCTTTCATGGAAATTCAGGCTTTAGGCATGCTTTGGTAGTAAGTTTTCAAATTTGTATTTTCCATTACAAAAGTATCTGTCTGACAATTTTAAAAGGCAGAAGAGCTCATTTTATGATTGGACCCTAACATTTTAAAAGATTCATAGACCAGGTGCAGGATTTAGCTAAGGACAGAAACTGCCACTGGTATATAAACCGAAATTCTGTGAAGTTTCAAAATTGGAGAATCAAATTTAAGTGATTGTACTAACTTATACTAAGTCAGAATTATGCAGGAAACACATACATTTGAAGCAGAGAAGGAGAACTCACTTTTAGAAATGTCTTGAGAATAAAACCTGTTGTCCAAGAAAGGATATCTAGAGACCAGATAACTACATGAGACATCTGGGACTTCAAAAGGTGCTGATCAATTAGACATTGAGAATAGGTTACTGGGATACAAGGAGACCTAAGGTTAGTTACCATTGTGTGGTTTATGTTTCTGTTTTCTTGGTTACCTTGGTGACACGTGAATTTCCTTGAACAAAACTTGTCTGTTGTGCGTCCTCTCAGTGGTTTAATCCATTCGTGACTTCAGGCAATTGTGCACTTATGGGAATTCTGAGAAAAACTTTGCTATATAGTTTGAACCTGGACAATGGTTATGTGTCTTCAACCAAGGACTTATGGTTTTGGTATTTATTCTAAGTTGCCAACTGATATGTCTTGTAAGAGCCTGTCAGGTGTTTCTGAGGACTCCCACAGCTGCCACCTTGTGGATGTTCACTCCTGGATTATCTGAAAGTGCCAGCTACAAGTGGACATCTCTTCCCACTCTATGAGGAAGAGTGAAGTCTTCCCTATACCTGGATTGGCCTGAAGGAGCATCTTTGGGCACACCTTTGACCAAAAGGAGGAGGATTTGAACCATTTTTGAACCCCCCAAGACCTGAGAATATCCTAAAACCTAGATTGGAAAATCAGGAGAAAGATATTTTTGGCCAGCTGTGAGCTTAACCTACCATAATGCTTTGCATGCTCTGGCATAACACACATGCTTTGTTTTGCTCTCCGAGTGCAACCAAAATGCTCCTTCCTGTTTCAGCAACTAACCTGAAGGTTGTATGAAAGTGATCAGGAGCATTCTTCTGTTTATGACTCCCAAGTGCAGGATGTTTTGAACTGGACACTATCTTGAATGATGAGACTTTTTCTTATGTTGGTATTTTATGGACATGCATTATGCTATGTTATGTGATACGTATTCAAGTTAATGATAAAAGGAACACAGAAATCCTGCATCTATAATGTTAATGGACACCTTGACATTCTCTTATCTTATTGTATTTACAATCTACCAACTAAGAAATTCCCTTCTCATATTATGGTTAACATATGGAGGCTCTAATTTTGGCTGACATGGCATCCTGAGCCAGGAAGGGAGGGATGGTGAGAGGGAATTACTGTGAAGATCTAGAGCTCCTTTGTTTATCTGTCCTTGGGCTCATTTACACAATAAGCTCCCGTGCTTATC